CAAGATGACTTTATTTGATAGTCGACAATTGAGACAGGCAGAGAATGTAGGGAGAGAAAAAGACATGGCATGTAACAAAGTTGTCCCAGTTGTGCCTTAGACCACTAGTCCAAAGGAACGCCCTCTATATATTTGAGAAATGGTGATGTAGCAGTGGCTTCAGGCCTTTAAAGCCAGAGATTACATATTATTTTAGCCCTTAGTAACATAGAGTGCCATAGCCATGAGTCCTAACCCCGGAGAAGGCTAATTGGTAGCATGTCCTTTGCCATCATCTTTTTGATGAGGGCTGTTATTTGCTCTGCACATTGATCATCAAACTTCTTTATGTGGTTTACAAAGCCACTGACTGCCCACTTTCTGCAGGATGCCTCGTGTACAAATGGCTGAGTAAAGTAGTTGTCGATCTATGATATGCTAACTTAACCTGGCAGAGTTTGCACTGCACCTCATTTTTGTTTATTTTCTTGAAGGGCTCCACACAGAATTTTCTGATGGCTGTAGTCTCTGCATGTTTTTGCTGATCTTGTGATTGCGTTATTTCTAGGTGCTGGTAAGCCCAAGGGAAAACAACGGCTCTTTTCTTTTTAAAGACAAAACCGTAGTCGCATGAAATATTAGATGTTTTTTAATTTAATGACCATTCGAATATTCAAAAATCATTGCCCATCCCTAGTAAGTATAATAAGCTGTTGTTTGTCACAAAGCTTATTTTCTGCAATAAAAAACAGCCCATTGGCTTTTTGTCAATGAAACCAGGATGATGCTAACTGCTTGTTATGGTTTAGTCCCCCTCACCAGGAGGATGAGGGAGAACTGGGGTCGGACTCAAGATGGCTGACCCAGGTGCTAGTACAAAAAGGTGGTTTAATGGAATAAAAACAAAGTGACAACATAACAGGGTCCATAATACATACAAGGGAAGGGCAGTGATGACTAAGGAGACCAGGACGAACAGGTAAACACACAAACTAACGACAGGAACTAGGATAGCAGGAGGATGAGAACGGACAGGTGAACAAAAAGAACTAACGTACACAATGTAATCCACAGCACAGGGACTGTCAGTGTGGAAGACAAAGCACGTATTTCTGTGTTGCTAACCGCATAATTAGCGTGATAAGGTCAAGCCAAAACGCACAGAGACTGTCAGCGTAGCATCTTACACACGTCTTTAAAAATATGCGGGTCAAACACAACATTTGTCAGTATTGTCCATTACATGTCGCAATGCTCCGGCCACGACGGGGCATCTGCCAGAGGTATAAATAAGGAAGCCAACAAATCACCAGAATACGCCTCAGGTGTGCGCACCGACCCACGAGTCACTAATTACCCAATGCGCACAGCTGAGGCGTTGATCCCGCAAAAAGGGAGAGCAGGAGAGGAAAAAAAGAAAGAGGCAGGTAGCGCCAAGCGGACCTGACACTGCTGGGCTGGCCTGCAAAAATACGTCATACCTACGGCACTGTATTTCACCAGACCATCAAACCCCCGCATCAAACGATACATCTGCAGCCTAGTCTCTATAAAGGCCATTCATCTCCACTGTTCAGTGGTTTTGCTGTAAGTATCTGTGTAGAGATCTGATCTTGACACAGTATTTAAATTATGAATCAATAGGAAATTCCACAGTTTTAATTGCACCAGTCAACCCTGTTAGTCTTCTGTCTTAGTTTAATGCCTCATACATATTGTTGGCCAATTAAGATGTGGTTGTATTTTTAGAATGGACAGCTGGATGGAATCAAGGCTTGGTGTTATTGCCTGGTGTCTAATGCCATATTGTTTACTTATCTTCTATTGGTTTACTTTACAGTTTCGTACAAGCTACTTTAGTTCACTCACAGATATCAGTGACAACAAGCACATAACAGATGGTATAATTTTGGACTAACTTGCCTGTAACATAAAGGTTTTAGACAAAACTATAATTCATGCATGTATCATTTCTCACCAACAATAATTAGCACTGTGTTAGCCTCATTAATAACCTCATTAATTGCCATGGTAACCTGAGATGTACACAGAGGGAGATGCAAGCTGAAGCGCTTGTAATTCCCAGGAGGTGGAGTGAGAAGCATTTCAGTTTTCTTGTAGCATCTCCAGTTACTCACTGTAGAGAAGCGCTGCTCCAAACACAACAGCGTGTTTCTCCAAACTCTGTGTGCCACTCTCACCACAGTCCACACTCCAGATCTGACCTGGTTTAGCCCCTGTGGGAGGACACACAGACAAACGCACACATGCCCACACTGACACTCGCTCTAGATGGCTATTGCATCAGACAGCCACAGTCCCGATTGTGGTCTATACCAGTGAAATAACAGGTCTGCTCTGTCTCTAAATATCTCCCGCTAAAAGAAGCACCAAAGTAAACGCAGCAGCAGACTCCAGACAAGTAAGTGTGGAGTACAGGGCCCAAGGTCAGTCACCCATCTCTAAACTGGTTCCAGTTAGGCCAAACCCCACCAAAGGCAAAGGCCTCCAGACTCTGTTGTTCCACTCGTACAGAAATAACTCAGTTTGGGTTAAAGATGTTTAGATTTTGAGATGGGCGAGTCCCTGCTTGTACTAACGTTGTGGTTCTGGGCGGACAAGCAGGTTGCATACGCAGGTTGTGGAGCTGTAATTAGTTGAATTTTGTTCATTTCAGGTTAAAGCTCTGATGCTCTATATCACTATTGTCTCCTGGGTGTTTGAATGTATTATTTGCCCTTGTTCTCAGTACTTTACATTTGGCCAGCTGCCATGAACTCAGGGTCATTTAGCTTCCTGGGAACCACTTTATGCTATAAAAAGGTTATTCAAACATAATTGGGATTAGAGAGATCCACACTTTATAGTTTTGTCCTTTTTAATGCCAACAATCAAACATTTCTAGGAAGGCATGCAAAAAAAACATTTTTTTCATGCTAGGCTGAATATGAAAATGTTACGTTGAGTTCTCTTACCTATGACTCCACATTAGTGTCATAGACCTACCTTAAATTTTCCCAGAGCCATTGCTTCATCTGCACTGTCCTTAAAGCCCCCAGATATCTGATATTGATTGTATTGTATTGTATTGTATATTGATGTTGTACACTCTGAGCCTCTGCAAATTAGACTTTTATAATCCCTCAGCCCTCTTGACCATTGAAGAACTCATTGTTTGTGTGTCATGGTTTAGCTGCTACTCAAGGACTGAGTCACTGCTTAATGGATCCATGAAGCATGTATGACTAATGCTCACACTCCAACCTTTTCTGGGGATGGTGACTCAGACCTTAGGAAGCTGTGCAAATCAATATGTCACTTTCAAGGTCACACATTTTCCTTGTACGAAACAACTGCAGTACGATGACACAAGAAACAGAAGGGTTCAACTCAACAGTTAGAACCTGCAAGATGCAAATCTGGACCATCCTTTTGATGTTATAAAGCACAATACAAACTAAAATAACATGGAAAAAAGTTAGCACTGAGTTCCCAGAAGTCTTACTTGTGGCATGGATTCATTATGACTATATTTGCTCCCCTAAATTGGGGCAGACCTTTAATACCATCTGGATAAAATGTTTCTAAAATACCCTTGTGTTTTCAATCCCATACTGACTTCAAGAACAAGCACTGAATTGTCTCTCAGGGTCTAAAATGGAAAAGTTTCCTTTCCAAATAACTAATTTAAAAGTTAGGATTTTTTCAGCAGTAATGAAGGCAGCATGATAGATTTAGCTGCAGTGATTTGTTGTGGTTGTGTTTGTGGCCTGTTGCGTGATGAGTTGAATTGCTTTGTGATGAATGACCAGGTCAAAGGAAGTAAGTCTTAGTTGTTGGTACAAAAGGACCTCACAGAACTGACCTAAAAGTTTCAAACCTTTCTTAATAACTAAGATAGCACTGTTTCAGTATGTGCATAAGGATTCCTTACTTTTAAACTTATTGTCACTTGTGTGTGTCCCAAGGTGATGAAGACCTACCACATGTACCACTCAGAGAGCATCAATGCTGAGAGCAAGCTGAAGGAGGCGGAGAAGCAAGAGGAGAAGCAGATTGGCAGAGGGGATCCCGTTTTCAGCATCCGAATGGAGGACAAATACGCGAAGCGCAGCTCTGTGAAGAAGATCGAGAAGATGAAAGAAAAGGTAGAACACCAGGCAGTCACAGTCTTTACCCACAGGAATCCATCCACCCATCCATCCATCCATCCTTCTATCCATCCATTATCTATGCCGTTATTCCTTAATAGGATCACGGAAGGCCTGGAGACTAGATGTAGGGTACACCCTGGACAGGTCGCCAGTCTATTGTAGGGCTGAGACTTAGAGACAGACAACCACACACACTCACATTCAGAGTGCACGCAGGTACAGGGAGAACAGGCAAACTCCACACAGAAAGGCACGGCAGGGGCTCGAACCCGGAATATTTTGGCCGCGCTAGCCAGTGGACCATCATAGGAATCCAGTTTGTGACAACTGTACTTCGAATGAAATAGCGTTAGTAGTCACACCATTCACGTTTCCATTCAGCAACTTTGAGTAGTTTGAAGACCACAAAACTGATTTTTCAGGATTTTAAGCACATTTGAGCTCTTTAACATTAGGTACAGTCATAGAAAACCTGTAGGTTTGGGCTACAACTCTGCTTTTTTTTCCTAACATGAGTAAAGGAAAACATACAGTAAGCGCTGTCACATCCAAACAAGCTGTATTCTCAGAGCAGGCCTGTTTTCTGTTAAATCTCTGGGACAAAAAAAGCCAGGGGAATGGAATATTGTTTTTCCTGCATTTGGGAAGTGTTAAAATATGGATCATTTGGATGTGCGTGAGTCAGTGGATGGTGACTAACAGCCCTCTGTTTGTCTGGTTGAGAGGAAGTACAAAATACAGACAGATGGCTCAGTCTGAGGTATCCTACTTGATGTGAAGTGCACAGGCTGGTTTGAGGTTCAGCTTTTCTTTTTCCATCCTAGTTGCCTTTTTTGTTTGTCTTTTGGTACTTTAACAGAACTTAACTTGTCTCTCCTCCAGTGTTTACTGGAGCTGGCTGTTATGCAGTAATCCAGCCTTAGCTCTGTGGCGCATAGCGCTCATGGAGAGATAAAAGCACAATCACTTGTCAAAAAGGCAGTTCTCAACTCATTACATCTCCCCTGTCTTGCTTGCTCTTTTGTTGCCTGTTTCTCATTCTTGCCTCTAATTCCCTCATCAGCGTCAAGCCAAGTATTCAGAGAACAAGCTGAAGTCGATCAAAGCACGGAATGAGTACCTGCTGACACTGGAAGCGACAAACGCCTCCGTTTTCAAGTACTACATCCATGACTTGTCGGATTTAATTGATGTAAGTATAAAACCACAGGCTTTTGTCAGCCCTCTTCTGAGATGACTTCATCTTTAGAAGAGGCATGTTTGTCTCCAGTGAGCCCGGGAAACATTTTACTTGGGACAGTCTTACAAAAACAACATTTTGCATTCATTTTTTATGGGTAAAGTAAAGTAGGTGTTATTATGGTTCTTTGTGCTCCTCAGCAGAAGATCCGTTACTGTTCAGGTGTGTTTTGACTAACCTTTAGAAGAGATTGAAAGTCGCAGTCAGAGAAAAAACCAATGACCTCAGCAGCTGGGCCTGATGTAAGAGAGATGTTAGGACACCAGGCTGTGGGATTACAATTACAGCACACAACAGAATTAAAGCAGCTCGATTACGTTTGTGATGAAAAACTGTTCTTCCTTTCTTTATCTTCTCTGAGTCATTATTGATATCCCACATGTCCAGTCATACTTTGTTTTTCTGACAGTCACTGTTTTAAATTTTCTTCACATCCTTCAGATGAATGGCGAGTGGGGGTGTCTCTGTTTCTGAAACCCTTTTTTTTTTTGGTTGGTGGGGGGGGGCATTCAGATCTCTCTAGTCTGCCTTGCAAGTACATTCTTTGTTTGAACTTTTTGTTACCATACCAATAAATGACTTATTTATAATATAGCTCACCTGGGTTATTATGTTGTTTGAGAAATAAACTTACGGCACCATTTTCTGTGGCGTTTCTAAGGAAACAGGAGATGGCCAGGTTTTTAATAAGCGTTTGGGGTTTTATATTCCAGACAGGACTGAAGGAGAGAAAGCGATGTATCCTCTGTTCAGCGGCATGCTGTGTGCTGAAATTACCCCTCTTCCCGCTTTGCTCACAAGCCTTCACATCTCACCAGGGTGTGTGTGTGCTTGTGTGGGTGTGTGTGAGAGATTGTCTGTGGGATGTGCATTACATGAGCTGTATGTGCAGCCTCACACACATTTGTTTATTGATTGTTTATTGAGACTTTTTATACTCCAAAACAAAGTGTACAAGTTGGCTGGTAGTGCTATCGTGTTTGCTTATCACTTAGGCCACGTGGGGTTTCTTTGTGTAACTGTGTGTGTGTCTGGGGTGTGTGCGAGGTCTTCTCAGGAGAAACCAGTTCTAGTTTTTAAAACTCAGCATTAGATCCTGGAGGTAACATTCAGACTGGGCAACTCTGCTGGCTCAGAATTGGAAACTCTTATTTAAAGTTCAGCTTGGCCAATAGGAAAGTGTTACAGGATTTTTTCTGACCTTATGATTAATCAGAAAACTTGTTGGCTAGGTTTGTGGGATTACTTGTGTTCTTAGCACATTAGGTTCTAGTCCAGTGTTTTTAATTTTATTGGTAGGGCAGCCATTTTGTTAACAAATAGAATACAGATTAAACTATTATATGAGGCAGCTTTAGTTTTCCTACTGGTCAACAGTAAAAAGTTCATTCGTTCACTTATAACTTCTCATCTTCTTGATTCTCCTTCATCACTAAGCTCCAGCTGATGTTCATTGCCTTTTTTGCATCCAGTGTTGCGATTTGGGGTACCACGCTAGTCTGAATCGAGCCCTGCGGACCTACCTGTCAGCCGAGTACAACCTCGAGACATCACGCCACGAGGGTCTTGATATCATTGAAAATGCTGTGGACAGTCTGGACCCACGCAGTGACCGGCAGAGGTTTATGGAGATGTACCCTATGGCCTTCTGCCCACCCGCAAAGTTTGAGTTCCAGCCTCACATGGGAGACGAGGTACCAATATTAGCTGTAACCCTGGTAACATCTTGTAATATCAGTATAATATTATTAGGGCTGTGAATTGAAACAGTTAACTGCGATTAATGGTGCAAACTTGTGAACTCCTAATCATTTTACTCTGAATATCAAATTAACCTAGAATAAATGCAAAGGAAGTCTATATTACTGTACTTGGACTTCAGTTTGTGACCTATAGTTATTCTTTCCCAAGAAAAACACCACCTGATCAATTGAATTGACTTCACAAAAGGCTAGATGAACAGAAGCCAAAAAGAAAAAAGAGGCCACTGTAGTATAAACATTGATCCTCCACAGTGTTAAGATAGTGACGATGGATAATGACCCACCTCGAGCACCACATTGTAGTAACACAGCCTGGTGGAGTGTCCCTGATGTTTAAGCTGTAGCACCTGGATGTTTCACTCTCAGGTGATACATAAAGATGTATTACTTTGGTGACAATTAAAGTAAGCTTTGCAGAATGTGCACACTACTTTTGTCTTTTCCAAAGAGCCATTAGGTCATAATTTAAAGTTGAATTTTCCGCCTAAAATGCTGTCCTTTTTCTTCTCCATAACAAGTGTGAGCATGTATTAGCCACAGGAAGTTTAAAAAAAAAAGGTCCTGCATAATATGGTTCATTTTTATCTGTTAAATCATTCACATTAATTGCAGAAGTTAACATGCTAATTTTCCCAACCCTATTAATAATACAGTATATACTTAAATCACCAGACCTGTGTTTAACTGCAAAAATAAATGAGTTCATGAGTGTTGTAAAGGCTTAGTGAGGCACTGAAATTGACTAATTCTGCAGTCATGTAGCTCAGGATGTGTACAGAGTTTTGCTGTTTGGCTGGCAATGCCAACACTGATGCCATGTTTGTTTACTAGCTCTTATTGCATGGATATCTGCATTCAGATGGCAGTGGTCACTGTGGTTTGCTCTGTAACTGAGCAAGAATTTAAGAGGCTACTAGACTAGTGGCTTATGTAGCATCTTTGTTTCTCCATTAGGCTGTTTTCAGACCAGTGATCATTGAGTGTATGTGCTTTTTTTTCCAGCTGTGTCAGATCTCAGTGCAGCCACCGATGAGCGGAGAGCTCATCCTGAGGTTCCAGCAGCTGCAGTCTCGTCTGGCTACTTTGAAGATTGAGAATGAGGAGGTAAACTAGTGCAAAGATAAATTAAACTCACTATCCAGGTATTTGTGCTGTGTGGGGCTTTAGGTGTGTGAAGCACATCCAAACTATTCTTTGCTGCTCCGGTTTTGTTGTCTGCCAGGGATGTAGGATGCTGCTGTTTGTTGGTTGCATCAAAGAATAGCTCACAGTTGCGGAGTATTAGAGCTACAAAAGGAAGTTAACTTTAGGCAGAAGTCATCACAGGTAAGACAGAGGAGAGTAGCTAACTGTTGATCTTTGCAGAATCAAACTTTTGTTGCATACACACACACACACACCACACACAGACACACATATACAGTGCACTCTCTCTCATATTCTTCTCTCACATGCCCTGCAGGTAGCCATCAAACCCTTTCTGTGAAACCTCTGTTGGCACAAACCTGTCCTGCAGTGCTCTGTTTTGACATTGGAGGTGCATTTTGTTTCTCAGGCCGTATTGGTTAAATCTGTTAGCAGCATGCTTGAATAACTTGTCATTCTTTTAAAACATCAAAGGCCAGTACAGAGGTAAGGCAGCGACTGCTGCTGATTCACAGAGTGCAATCACATTCATCAGAATGGCTTTTGTATCATGTTGGACCTTTGTGCATTCTCACTGCTTTCTGGGTTTTGCTTTTCTTCCTCCCTCTGCATCACTGCACTATCTTCTGTTCACTTTCTTACATAGTACCTGCAATATGTATGTACAACTGGGCAAATACACGTGCAGCCCTGTGTGTTTGTGTGACGGTACAATGACGAGCCCTGGTTGCTGCATGTCCTTGTCCGCCTGTGCCTCTAAAGCGGATGTCCTGGTAGGTCAGAATTGGAGGGCGCTGCTGCTTTGTGTTAGGATCACCAGATGGCCTCTTTTCCTGGGCACAGGATGCCAAATACAGCCTTGAAAAATGAACTTTCAAAGCACTGTGGTGACCTACAAGCACGACTGTCAAGTGCACAGGAGAGAGAAGGTTCGTCTTTATCCAGCCAGGAAAAGCTGTGGGGCAGTGCTTAATAGAAGCGCAGCTGTTTCCTCAAGCCTCTTTGACTCCCGTGAAATGGTAAAAGAAAACACCACTGAATAATTTAGTCTGCGTCAGTGGTGGGTGGGGTGCAACGTGGGAAGGAAGATTCTGGATCCACTCTTACTGTGTAGTTAGACTGAAAATAGCCCCGCTGGGTGCCTCTGCAACAGAGATTACAATTGGATTTTTCTTTTTCGTGTCTTTGTTGTTCATTTCAGCTCCTCAGTCACTCAGCATGGTTCATTTCTTTTTCAGATTTAATAATCTGGCCATTTAGGTCTCATTTGCCTCCATCTCTACCAGAGCTCTCACAGACTGATTTTCCACCTCTGTTCTCTTTCGTCTTCTCGCCAGACATGCAAGCGCTCCTAAAAATTGTTCTCTAGACATTACACAATTTAATACCATCTCCTTCACAGAGAGTTTGTTTTTTTTTCCTCTGATAAATCTGAGGGAGGCACATCAAAGTTGTTTTTGTGTGTGTGCTCATAGCTTACTGCAAGGTCGTGCTGGGAGTTAGGGGTAGCAGTCTGCCCTCTGAGATGTGTTGATAGATGCTGAAATAACTGGTAGCGGTGATGTGCTGCTCTCCTGCAGAACAACAAGGACTTTAGACTGCCGCAAGTGAAATTATTTTGGACTTTGACAGAAATTATTTTCTGCCTAGACAGTGGTGGCTTCAAGTAAGCCAGACTGACACTTGTGCTTGGTTCTTTATTAAAAGGAAACAAACCTATCTGAATACCAAGGACTGTCTCCAAGTCAGCTGTGCAGCTGCAGGGATGGATGGACATATCCACTGAGTCTCTCTAAGAGCGCTGTTGTAATTTAACCCAGCAGCGAACACTGGTAACTATTGGTCTGCTGAATAATGGATAGCAGCTTTTCACTGCAAGCAATTCTCTGGCATGCATGGATCCTGTCTTTATGATGACAGCTGGCCCTCTCATCTCCACGGGGGCCATGCGGGACGAAGCTACATGGAACACAGGGAGGGCGAGCCCACACACACTCAGAGCATGTAACTAAGGACTTCATGTTGGAGTACGTTACTTATTTTAGGGACCTGCCATGGATACATTTTCATAATGGCATAAGTGTAGATTTCAGGACCTTTTCCCTGTTTATTAAAGTCATCAAGTTATTTTACATTATAGTACAGAAAAACACTCCTTTGATCACTAAATGTCAGTCACCAACTGTTGTCACAAGACAGGAGGATGCTTTTGTGAATTTTATGATCTTAGAATCCCCCTGTTGTTATTAGACACGTTCCATCCTCATTGTGCACCTTCGCATATGTGTCAGCACTGTAATCCATCATAGTAACACATGAAAGAGATAAAGTCCACTTTGTTTTTATTTTGAAGGAGTCCTGCATCAGGTAGATTATAGAAGGGCTATAATTTACTGTTTTCTTTGTGTGTGTGTGTGTGTGTGTGTGTGTAAAAGTTACACTAGGAATCCACCTTGTTCTTTCATTAGCATGGAGGTCAGACTCACTTAATAACAGAGATGGAGTCGCTACCATTGAGTGGGGGTCTTCCTGGCCATTAAAAATAATTCAGAGGAATTCCAGCTGTGTTTCACTCGGGCTCGCTGAACTGAGCCACCTTTTCAAAGCACCCACGATCAAACTGCAGTGGCCACAGTGTTGGTCTCCCCCTGGGTGTCTTTTTTTCTGATAGCTGGTCGTTCTACATCAGCTGGGCCACTATCCCTCATCAGCGATTCATTCTTACTCTCGACAGTCTCTAGTTGCTTCCTCCTTGTCTTTTTGTCTCCTTTATGCATTTCTTTCTGTCCGTCTTCCCATTTGTCCTTGTTCTGCAAGTGTCCGTATTTATATTAGTAAGCAAAGTGTTTACTGAATGACTAAACATCAAGCAGAATGGCCACAGTGTTAGGACTGTGGATCTTCAGGCTAAATTGAAACAAAGGTGGACTCAGAAGGCAAGACTCAGAATCAGGACAGCTGGTAATTTATTAGTCTTAACAAAGATGTGAATGAATCAGACTCTGGGAACAACTGGTATTTTGGGACTTCATGTGGTTAGGGAGGAGTGTCCCCAGTGTGAGCAATGGCTTGTGGTTCAGAGGGAGTTCGGAGTTGGCAGGCGGCAGGGTCAGGTGGACGGGCAGGAGAAGAACCGTGAGGAGTTGTTGATGCAGGGGCCCACCGGTGAGCTGAGCAGGCCAGAGAGAGAGGTCGGAGTGGCCGGGCCACTTTGATCCATGCTGAAATACAGTATCTGAACAACTATTGAATGTATTGCCCTGAAATGTTGTATAAACATTCATGACTTTTCCTCTGCTGCCACCATGAGATTCACATTTGTGGTTTTGAATGACACCACAATTATTTAATAGAGTGCTATGATATTTGATCGAGACCTTCATGATCCATGAGATACATTTAGTTTAAAGCACCGGTATGTGTCACAGTTACAACTCCACAGAGTCGCTATCATGTCTGTAGACTCACTTTTATTACAGTTTTTATTACAGAATATGACTTTTTTTTCCTTAACATAGCAATCTTTTACTCACGGTACTATTATTCTTTATCGGTTAACATAAGATGTGATACTCCAATGTACTGTCACATTTGTGTACTACAAGTTCCTTATTTATGGCTTAGATAATTGGTTTTTATCAGCCTATGGTCTGTCTGTCTTTTATGTAGCTGTTTATTCATTTGCCCTCTCATTTGATTGTCGCACCCTCTCTCATGCACTTGCTAAATACCTGTGTCAGTAAGTAGTGGGGCATGCTTGGCGAAGCCCTGACAGTTAAAGCTCCTGTTGACAGGAAAAGAAGCCAGATCTTAAAAGTGCCATCTCCACCTGACACCGTTCACCTATGATCCTCTGAGTGCATGGAAAATGATTGCTTTTGCTTGGAGTCATGTTCTGGAACTGGTGACTTTTTGGGCAGGTGCTTCTTGTCAGATAACACTTCAATTCTTCTGTGTCATCAGAGAGGGAGGTCTTTAGGGAGTGTGACTATACATACCCCTGAGTGTGCTGTGATACTCACATCCTGATTGACATGTAGCTTTTAAACAGGCAGCTCTTTGCTCTGACAAATAACTCTTCCTCATCTTTCTCATTTTCTTGTGTCCCCAGATCAAAAAAACATCAGAGGCCACCCTGACCACCATCCAGGATATGGTCACCATTGAAGACTATGACGTGTCAGAGTGTTTCCATCACAGCCGTTCCACAGAGTCAGTCAAGTCCACTGTGTCAGAGACGTACCTCAGCAAACCCAGCATTGCTAAGAGGAGGGCCAACCAGCAGGAGACAGAGCAGTTCTACTTCATGGTGAGTGATGAGAGGATACCGTGCTGGTACGAGTGAGCAAATACAAGAGAAGAAACTTCAGAGATGTCTTTTATTCCTGTACAAAAATAGAAATAAATCTTTGAGGCCTTATTTGCTTTCTGCACTTAGTCTTTTTGAAAGAAGTGAACACACCAGATTTCTTCGGATTATACACCCTGTTTAATACATGCTTCAAAAATCTCTAAAGTAAACCAGAGACTATGAACCCAAGCTTTTTTCTGGACTTTAATGTCAGCCTTACTGCTGCCCTGTTCCACTCTGACAATGGACGTGCTCTGATAAAAGTTTTATAAAGACTCGCAGCGTGTCCTTTACCCATGGCTGCTTGACCACTGTCAGGTGCTTGGGTCTGATGTGTATTTACTCTCAATTCTCCTCAGAAATTCCGGGAGTTTCTGGAGGGCAGTAATCTCATCTCTAAACTGCAGGCCAAACACGACTTGCTGAAGAGGACGCTCGGTGAAGGTACAATCTTGGTTCTCTGACTTGCCCTCCTCTTGTTTTCAATTTCACACCATGTTTTTGCACTTGATTCATACCTGAATGTAAAATTCACCTCCACCAGCCTTCCTCCAGCTCAAATGAGAATGTATTAGTTGTAATCAAAAAGGCAACATAAAAAAACATTGGTTATTAAAGTTAATCTTTTTATTTTCTGCAGTCTTACCTGAGCAGTTTCAGCCTTTTCTGTGGCAAATATTTTGCCTGTTTTTTTCCCACCAGTTAAAGCTCCTAGATGGTAGTCAGGGTTTTAGTGAAGCAAGTCAGAGCTGAAGGGAGATTGTGAATTTGTTATGCATCTTAGTGATTGATTTGGTTTTGACTTAATGGAGCGCTGTGGCGGTCGTAACGATGGTCTCTCCTTGTTCTACATTGGTGGGATTTCCTCAAGGTCTCAACAAATCTACAGTCAATCCAGAGGGTATCTGTCAGTCATTATTTGAACCATCAGCCCTGGTGGTCTCCGTCAAGCTCCCTACTTAATAAGTAATGGAGCTTCGTCCTAATGAGGAAGAGAAAACTCTTCCGTCTCCCTAATGCTCCTTAATCATATTGTTGTGAATGAGCTGAAGTAGAGTGTGACTCACTCAGACACACAGACAGGTCATATCCTGCTCATGGGAACAGATGGCCACACAAAGAAACTACTCCTGTTTTCCAAAATCATTTGGAAGCTGTTTTGTGCCCAGTCTTAACTTTGCTTGTCCAAACTTGCAGCTCTCTGTATTCTTATGATAGAGTGCCTGTGTGCCTACATCAGTTGTAAACATCCAGCTGGGTGTCTGGGAGATGTTTGTTTGTACTGCAGATGTAATTAAGCTAAAGTGTTGCCTGTAAGTCTCTGTGAGCTGGTGTGTGCGTGCATGCGTGTGTGTATTGGGTTTGTTTGCGCTGCTCAAGAGGCCAGCGGTTGCGGACAGATGGCAGGCATATGCACTGCAGGGACCTCAGAAGACAGGTCATGGCATGTCCACACATCTAACTTCCCCTCACATCTCTTCTCTTCTCTTTTCTTTCCTCACCCACAGGCCACAGAGCTGACTACATGACCACAAGGTAAAGCACACACACGGACACACACCCACACACTCTTCAGGACTTGTGGATGTTCAAGATGCACATCCAGTCCACTTTTCTTTTAGCAGCACTTTTGTGACATGTTGCAGCTCATCAAGGCAGGGACACGTTTCCTCAGGAAGTTTTTAGGTGAAGTCCTCTGTGACCATGTAAGCAGAAGTGCCTGTAATTAGATTCAGAAAACAAAGCCCTTGGAGGGCACTGAGCAGATGTACAGGCCTCCATGGCTTTAAAACAAACCTGTTGTGTGTGTTGGGTTACTGTACTTTCTAGTCCCACTAAAGCTGTTTGTCAGGGCTTTAAAGATAAGGTGGTCAAATGAAGAATACCTAAAAAACTAATCAGAGGGCAAGAGAGGAGAGGAAAAAAATCTATTTAAATGTTTAGAGCCAAGTTTAAAGTACAATAAAAGAGGTAGAGATAGAACAGATGGGTCAGTTGAATTCATAACTACACATCTGGATTCTGCTCTCCCAGCACTGGAGAGCTTTGACAGTCACTCCAAACATATTTATGTCCCTTTGATAGAGTCACTCTATGGATATCTGCGTTGTAGCTGAGCTAGAGACACTATACAAGAGTGGGTGGGTGTGTGTCTCTCATCTGGGGAGGGTCAGTAACTGTGTTTCTCTTGGTTAAAGTTACTGTTTGTCAAACCGAAATATATTTTTAAGTCTGCTGAAAACAGCAGACTTGTCTCTGTGCCCGTATGTTGTGTGCTGGCTGAGCAATACATCTCCTTCATATACAGCCATGGCCAAAAATATTGACACCCCTGCATTTCTGTCAGATAATGCACCACTTCTCCCAGAAAATAATTTATTTCTTTTGTTTGCATCAGAACAACACGAAAAAGCAGAGAAAAAGCCAAATCTGATACATTCTACACAGAACTCCAAACATTGATGATGTTCAGCAGTGGCTAAAAATACCCACAGTCACCTGTCCATCATCTGGAGGTGGAGGGTTTTCAAGATTAGGCAGCTTCAACTTCAGTTCAAGTTTTTGAAGGGTGTAAAGGTTTTTGGCGACTAGGCTCACAGAGGTAAAGTACTCTATAAGGAAAACTGCTTTGTTGATTTGTTTTAATGCATTCTTTGTATTCTAGACATCCCAATGGGCCACTCAAAACCCACACTGGCACCCGGCGGCCTAGACCTCGCTCCGTTTTTAATGTTAGGTTATTTAATGGCAATTTGGAGTCATTTATTAAGGTACTGATTACCAGTCTGCCGCTTGACATTCCTACTTCTCCTACCCTTTTTTCTGTCTCATTCTGGCTTTTGGGCCATTTTGGTGGGTTCCCCTAAAGTATCTTAGCTTTTATTTATCTCTTACCAAATAACAGCAACATGTTCTTTGCAAAGATGGATTCTGGAAACCTTCCTCATGCATCAGTAAGCTCTGGCAGCCTGCGTCTGAAATACAGGAGTGGTACTGATAGACTTGGAGGGCTGCAGGAGAAGAGGAATGGGAATTGGAGGGATAAATATTTGTCTCCGTCAGCTCCTCGGACTCACTGCTGACCTGGCATCACTGAGCTCCTCTGGCAGAGATAGTTTCTCCTCTTCCTCCAGAGTGAGAGCAGAAGCCAGTGAAAGCAGCAGGATAAATGGCAGTCAGGGAGCAGATGCCAGACTGATAAGGCGCGCTGCCTCCTTCCTCTTGCCTCTTCACTGCCACTCACTGGTAGCCGTGTCCAGTCCTGCCCGGTCCTGTCCAGTTCCCGCTGTTTCTTTTGGGTTTGATGCCAGCACAGAGTAGAGGAGGCTGCACTCTGAGTAAAGGCTTTGGTGGGCAGCTGCTATGGTTTAATCTGGGTCTTGCTTCTCTCTCTCTCCCTCCCTCTATCTCTCTCTCTCCTTTTCTTTATGTCCATCTCTGGCTCTTGCAACATTTCTCTGTAGCCGCGGACGACGGAACTCACATGCTCGACATCAGGTAGACACCCTGAAGCATCTTGAGGGGCCCCATGCTGCTTGCCTGCACTCATTTTCATTATCTGTCCTGCCTTAGCACCATTTTCACTTCATGTATTGTTTGTCTGTAACTTATGATCATCAGCTAACTTCTGAGTAGACTCAGACAGGCTGAACTGAAAAAGTGTGGTCACCCAAGGTTTCTTAATAATGTTGTGGGCAATTGTATATTTAGTGTGAATGGTGTTTGGAAATTACCAGCACAAACCACTTGCAACTTTATTACTGGTTGTGAGTTTATTTATAAAGCAGTCAACCCCAGTCTCACATATCCAGAGAGATGGCTTTACATAACTCTGCTGCACCAGACCAGTGCATCGACCTTTACAGCCAGTCCAGTGTTAGGACCCGCTCATAAACCCCTGATGGCTGTAATCATATCCACTGTAAGCATGTGTTGAGTCCCTCTCCAGCACCGAGCCACAGGAGCATTTGGCATCGAAGCAGAATAAGTGTAGTCAATGTCTAAGAAGAATGTGTTTTCTCTGAAGGAGTTGGTGTTGCTCCCTCTCACACTACTTCTGCGCCGAGCACCAAATCGAGTATGTGGCTCTTTAATAGTGCACTCAACTGCTAGCATAACATGGCAAAGTATATTTAGCAACACTGGAGACCAGTTAAAAAGTGGTGGACAATATGTTAGTACATGCTTGTTGAGGTAGCTAGTCAATGATTCCTGTGGGAGACTGGGTGTGAACAATCAGAAGCTGCTGAAGTCAGTTCAGCCTGTTTTAGTCAGTGCTCAACAAAGTAGTCCACACTGTCTATCCTATAAACTTCACTTATACTGGGTGTGCATGTTTATGCATTTGTAATGTCATGTTGCTGTCAGAGCCCGACTGATACATTGGCAGCCATATATTATCAGAACGCATCACAGATATACTGGCATTGCGTATGTTTGCAGATATAAAAAAATGCTGAGCAGTAAGCTGTAGTAATACATTTGTATGCATATTTGACGTTTTCTTCGATTCACATTTCATATACAGTAGTTTTATGTCATGTTTTTGTGTGTTTATAGCTAATTGAAATTTATTTTAATTTAATTTGCATTTCCTGTTGACATGTATTATTATGTTTGGTAAAGGTTACTCAGAAATATCACAGAATTATTTTGTGCAGAAACAAATATCAGCGTATCAAATGATTCTTCTCAGTTACTGATATTGAATGTACAACATTCTTGGAAACCCGGTATGGGTCAGGCTCTGGTTTTTGTGCATGTAACAAAAAGGACAGGTCACACATCATCTCACACTTGGGTGTTTTTATTTTCTCTGCCCTCAAAGGATTCTGGACAAGCTATCCCCCGTGTGGTCGAAAGCTGTATTCGCTACATAAATTTGTATGGTGAGTTGGTTGTTATTGTGTGCAGACGTTTTGTCACTTAAGTGAATTAAATTTAGGACTGTATTTCTGTTTTCTGTGATAATTTACCAACTGCTTTATTTCTGGGTCTAGTGAAAAGTGACACTTGTACAATTTTAGATAGACTTACAGTTTTGTTTTGAAACCAGACTGAAAAGACACTCGGAAAGAATGTAAAGCACTGAAAATGTGACAGTAATGAGCTGTCTGTTTATGTTCAAAGAGAAAGCTATCAGGAGGCAAAAGGCAGACTAATTATACTTCCTCCTGACCCTTGACCTCTCCTCATATTAGGTCCTAATCCCAGCTGGAAGACATGCTTGATTGCTGTCTTCCTAACTCATTACAGAAGTGAGGGGTCTTAATGGAGTGTGTGAGGTGTGCATTTGGGGTCCATGTAAAAAAGCTTTTTTTTTTATTGAATGAGAGAGTTTCTTTTTTGTGTTCTTCTTTTGCCTTCTGCCTTTTCTTTCTCCCTTACCCTCTTGCTTTGTGTTTGTCTGGGCAGGCCTCCAACATCAAGGAATATTCCGTGTGTCTGGATCCCAGCTGGAGGTCAATGACATCAAGAACTCATTTGAGAGAGGTACAGAATGTTGTCTATTTATAATAGTATTTTGTAATTTTCATTGATTTTACCATACTTAGAGTATGGCGTTGAAAACTGGGGAAATACATACAAAAGCTCACTTCAACCATTGTATATATTACAAAAAAGAGCGATAAGAATTGTGCATAAGATGGGATATAGGGATCACACCAATGTAGCTTTCATACAGTCTAAATTGTTAAAATTTTTTGATTTAGTGGGATATAAGACTGCTGTGTTTATGTATAAAGCCAGGAACAATTTATTACCTGGTGGAATTCAAAAACTATTTAATGAAAGGGAAGGGGGATACAATGTGGTGTAGAAGATAAGTATTTAAGAATGTAATTATGTATGAATGTTAATACTCTGTAATAATTCTTTAATATATTACTTGTGTGGTGTAGAAGATAAGTATTTAAGAATGTAATTATGTATGAATGTTAATACTCTGTAATAATTCTTTAGTATATTACTTGTGTGGTGTAGAAGATAATTATCTATGTAGAGATACTGCTTGTAAACCAATGATGGTAAGATGATGTCATGGGGTAGGACTGGATAAGTCTGACTTCTTCCTACTCCATTCAAGCATGTACTAGGTATAAGCACATTGATATTGGATTAGCATTTGTTGGATATGTGTAAAATTATGTGTGTTGACATATCAACTGTCTTTACATGCTTGAAAGAATAAAATCAATCCATCAATCAATCAAAAATCAATAGCTACACATAAATTAGTTGTGACACTTTGTGTCAGACCTTATTTAGACGGTAAGCATTTTGGGTTCTTGTTAATTAGATGTATTTCACGTAACATGTTTTTTACCATGATAAACCTACTGACTTGTCCATGTTATAGGAAATGATCCTCTGACGGACGACGAGAACAACCATGATATCAACTCAGTGGCTGGTGTTCTGAAACTTTACTTCCGGGGTCTGGAGAACCCTCTTTTCCCTAAGGAGAGGTTCAGTGATCTGCTCTCCTGCATCAGTAAGAACACACACATTTTAGTGGTGGCCTATGGTGTCATTTAAAATCCTTTGTTTAAATCATTCATTCATTTATTTATTGTCATTCAAGTTCCTCTCACTCAGAAGGAATGTGGATCCTCAAAGCTTTTTACTGGGTGTGTTGTCACTTAAGTCTTACAGCGCTCGGGAAAATACATCTTCCCAAACTTTGTCAGATGATAATCCATTTAAATTAAATGCATCATACTGTACAAATTGCTCTATTCTCCATCCTTATACAAGTAAGACATCAAAATGTGATCATTTGTCCTGGAACTCACGCTGGTAATTCACTATGACTGTGTCTCAAAGTTGGAATGTTTGGAAAAGGTTTATAAAAGTCAAACAGCACCCACAATCCACTTCTACAAGCTGCAATTATAGGAGTATGGCATAGTCAGAAATACAATGGTGATGGAGAACAGTATATTTTTAAATGGCTGACTGTGTAGGTGAATGTATGCCAGTGCTTTTCCTGGATATTCTTTCATCTGTGGTTGAAACACTGTTGCAAGTCTCTTTTAAATGATCTGCCTGTTTTTACTGGGTCTCATTTTCTGAATGTGGCGTATCCATAGTATCTGGAACAGGGTCGACAGTTAAGATCGTTCATAGGTTGCGTTTCTTGTCAGATTCAGGCCTTAGAAGATGAAGTTTAATTTTGTCAGCAGAGTGGCTCTGACTGTGTTATTTAGTTTTGAGTACTGAGAGCAATATTTTCTGTCAGTGGCAACAAAGCTGGCCACAGTGGTGGAGTGTTAAATGTCCACAGAACTGACCAGCATCTGTGTTCAGAGCCGAATCGACAGTGAAGTCCTCATAAGAATAGTCTCATTGTCACTTCAGTATGAGCCAGTTCTTTGTGGGGTTTTTCTGATCTTCTAAGTCTTGACATGGGGGATGGGGCATGTTTTAGCTCTGTTAGCATGTTGAACTGTTAAAGAACAGTTCAACATGAACTGAGTCACATGGACGCAACATTTACTGCAGTGCCTTGTGCAGCTTTGTGTGTTATATGCTCCATTTACATGTGTGTTTTTATGCTCATGCAGGATTTTGTGTACTCCTCATTGTGTGAAGTGTGTCTGCATGTGTTTCCTGGGTGCACATTTACACATTTCTGTGAGATGACAGATGGGAATTCCCTGTTTACATTCCCCAGCTCAACATGCCAGTGATTAGAGTGTGGGCTGAACGCCCAGCAGGCTCCATATTAAGAACCCTCTGCTTATTCCATATGGAGCAGCTCACACCAGCTATGAGGTCCTTCTGCTGTTAACTGCTCTCAGTTGACTTTTCTTCTTCACCGGCGCAGCATACTGCAGCTCCTGGTAGCTTTCATTATGGAATTTGCAGTAGGGATGTTTTGCATGGGTGTGCTTACACATGTTTTTAGGTGACGTACAAGTGTGCACCTGAGTAGATCTTTAAATAGTAGCTTTTCACCTACTATGGCTCAGGAGTCTTACAGAATCTTGCTAAGGTATTCATGAAAAGAACCTCAAATCCCAGATGGCACAGAGTGGCTGGAGGGTGACGGTGCTATTTTTAGCATCCAACACAGCCCAAGCTCAACCAGATAAAATAGGCTGTGTCGAGTGCCACAAGCAAGAGAGTACTGAAAATCAGAGAGCTTGGCATCCGCCAGCATTTTCATAAACTGCAGTATGGGAAAGATTTGAAATGGTTTGTCTCTGTAGATAATTAATGATCCTGTGAGGAAACTTTTCACAAAAGAGTAAGTCTTGTTTTTGAAAGGCCGGAAGAAGAAGTGAAAGATTGAAAAGGAATAGAGGTATTGACAAAACGGATACAAAACAGGAAAAAATCCTTGGCATCAGGTTCTAACGGAGAGTGCCGACTTCCCTCTACTCTTCCTCTGGTATCAGCAGAGGAACTCAAGCTGAGGTCGAGTAATTGGCTCAGCTTCAATATGCTTTTGTATTTACATCCTGAGTCATGGTGTGATGATTGTCAGTATGTGGACACTGTCAGGTAGATGATTGTTTTTCATACATGGCTTTGCAAGGTAAGTGGATAACAGCGGACTCTGGTTGTTAGTCCCGCCCCTGAACTGAAACTAAATAAACTTAATTAATTTAACAGTGTTTTCTTGTGTTCTTTTTTAGGAATAGACAACCTGTATGACAGAGCACTGTACATCCGTAAGATCCTCATGACCATTCCCAGATCAGTCCTCATCGTCATGCGCTACCTCTTTGCCTTCCTCAACCAGTAAGTTTGTAGACACTGACCAGTAAATCCACCCTCTTGTTGAATTTATAAGGTTTGCTTCAACATACTGAATCACTCTTTCCTGTCTATATTTCCTCATCTTTTTATTCTTCCCCTCTCTCTCCAGTCTCTCCCAGTACAGTGATGAGAACATGATGGACCCATACAACCTGGCCATATGCTTTGGCCCCACACTAATGCCCACACCAGACAGCCAGGACCAGGTCTCATGCCAAGCCCATGTCAACGAGATCATCAAGACCATCATCATCCACCATGAGACCATCTTTCCAGATGCCAAAGAACTGGATGGACCAATTTATGAGAAGTGCATGGCTGGAGGCGACTACTGGTGAGGAACAAGGGTCAAATCCAGTTGTTTTTTTGTTTTTACTGTGAATGCAACAGCAACACGCAGCTGAACCTCCTCCATCAGGGACCCACTCAACATGCAGGTGTGCGTGCACTGTCAGCAGTGCAGCTGTGTCAGTAGAATGTCAGTGGAATTCATCTAACTCACCAGTTATTTTTCTGTGCTTTAGGAACATGACAAGGTAGAGCATGTTCTGTGACTTGACATGGTGGACTGCTTTCACAGAGAGACAGGCTGAAATGATCACTTTAATTATCGCCATCATGGCAGGAAGAAAATCAAGGAGGTCATGCCAGTGACAGGATGATTAGGTGAACTACATACAGCACATGCTGGAGTCAAATAGATCAAATCTGAGGCCCTTTGTCAAATCCACATCTGTAAGCTGGACTGTTTCTTCCTCTCTATCTGCTTCTGTTTCTCCTTTTCTATGCCTCAACATCACCACAGGCTGACAGGAATTTATCCCTGGCTAGAGCTAATCACCCTCCTCAGCATGACTGTGTCCCTCTGGCGAGCCTCATGAAGCCCTGGGAAGATTTGTTTGTCTTGGCTGCCTGCATTTCTTGTAGAAGAGGAGGCAGCTAGTGACATGTTAGCATAGGAGAAGACACTCAGTCCCTGGCAGCAATAATCTGTAGAAGAGTCTGTTGGTGTGTGTGTGTGTGTGTGTGTGTGTGTGTGTGTTATTGCCAGCTCTCAGCATGATGCCAGAAGAAGACCATGTAAAAGGACCAATCACAGACAGAGGATCTTAGCCTCTCACAGAATACTGATAATGATCACGGCTTGAACTTCCTCTAAGTTATATTAAAGACCATCTTCCTCTGAATGGCATTTGGTTGTTGAGGTCTAAATAAAAATTTTATCTTGCTGAACTGAGTCGGGAGATACAGTGACCAGAATGTTTTGAAAATGAAAGATCTTGATGGCTAGAAAATAGCTCCAAAACAAGGAAAAACTAATGCTTTAGTCTGTTTTGAAACTGTCCCCTAACACCTGACCCTTCGATCCTGTTGTTTCCATCACCCTCATGGTTTCCATGTTGCCTCCACAGTGAAAGCCCCTACAGTGAGCATGGAGCGCTGGAGGAGGTTGATGGAGTTGAAGGAGGGACGGAGACACACACCAGCGAGGACGGTGAGTGACTGTACAAACTTGTACAGCATAAGGATGATACAAATAGCTTTAAATTAAGTGTCAAAACTTGTCTTCCACATGTTTTAAATAAACACACATGTAAAGTAAAATGTGATTCTCTCCCATCCATATGCTGTGTCCATTTTTAAGCTTTCTCTTGTGTCCATGGTGTTGTGAGGGTTAATGCTGGATCTCTGCAGCTAACCCTGCCTTTCAGCCTGCTAAATGCAGTAGCCTTGAGGGGCCAGGGACCTGGGCTCATAGTTCTGGACATCCATTCATATTCTAATGGTTCTGCTTCTCCCTTGAGGCCTTAGGATATTTCTACATCCACCTTTTACAACTCCTACAGTGGCCTGCACCCACTGGACACCTTGGGAGAGAAATTAAATTTTCTGTTACCTAAAATATTCAATTCCCTTGATTTTTTTCATAACTTTGTGAAAAATCTGTGTTGTAGTAATTAGTAAAAGAATAGCAAATCAATTGGAGTATCTCAAGAGATGTGTGGCATTTCAAAAATGATAGGGTCTGTGTTTTCTCTACAATTAACAGAATGTCCAAGAGAATTACAAAGAAATAATAAACACAAGGCTCATGTAGACACCGGAGGAAATGATCGACTTGGTGGGATACATTCAACTTGTGTAATCATACACGTGTTCCTTTGTTTGAGTGAAATGGATACGAGTTGGTCCGGTCCAAGTCAAATAATGACTGAGTTAGTTGAAACCAAAATATCAGACAGGGTCAAACACTGGTGTTTAACTTTCAGTAAAAAGTTCAGCTCATTAAAAAGGGATACATATACCTGACAGAGAGCTGACCAGATGTAGGCAATCTGAGCAAAAAAGAAAGTCAACCTACAGCTGAGCCAAGTCTTCATTTTCATCCAAGCCAGTCTCTTTTTTTATGGCCAGAGATGAATTTTAGCCCCCATCGCCCGGTACATCGACTGCTAAGTCATCATCTGGATGTCCTCTGAAATGTAAGGAGGACGTGATTAGGCAGGAAAATTGCATTTGAGGATTCCCGCTGTAAAGCACAGATGGCAGTTATCACCTCTGGAGTAAATCAGTGGAAGTTTCCCAGTAATCCCTTGCAACAGTGCCATGGTTTTGTTCCAGAAGCCTCTCTGAGCAGACTGGAGGATGTCCTCTCTGACTGAGTCCCTCTCTGTGGAGTCTTGAACTGTGGTCAATTTATTGTCATCAGTTATTTTTAAATTCCCATTACATCATTTAGGAGCAACACGACAGTTGCACTGGTTAGCACTGTCACCTCACAGCAAGAAGGTTTGGGATTCAGGCCTTTCAGTGTGGAGTTTGCATGTTCTCCCCATGCCTGTGTGGGTTTTCTCTGGGTACTCCAGCTTCCTCCCTCAGTCCGAAGACATGCAGGTTCAAGACTACACTGATAGGTGTGGTTGTCAATCTCTGTGTGTCAGCCCTGTTGAAGGTGTACCCCACCTCTCTCCCAGTGACAGCTGGAACTGGGTCCAGTACCCCTCTGACCATCTACAGGAGGGTACAGGTGATGGATGGATAGATGACCTCATTTCAATTTTGGACACAAAAGCAAACCTCTCTTCCTGTTTAATTAGCAGCACCTGATTCTGAAACCTGAAATAAGGACATGCATTTCTCTCCTCTTCTCAAGATTCAAAAAGTGTTTGCCCTCTTTGCCCTCAAAGTAAATAAGCAGGAGGGAGAAAAAGGAGGAGTAAAAGTCATTCGATGTGTTGGCCTAAGTAGCTCATCTCGACAGCTCAGCCCCCCTGGAGTGTGTTAAAGCTCATTAGTTCAGACAGATGCTGTGGACCAGCCTGATTTACACAGAGCACACAACCTATGTGATTGTTGCTGTAACCAGGTGTTAATGGAAAAAATGAAGAGGGGAGCAAATGTGTGGATGCCTCATTATTAAAATATAAATGGTACCATGTTAGATGTTTTATGAAGTATAGCCTCAGCTTGTGCATTATGTGTGATCATTACATTTGAATCACATAGCCAACCAAAACTATAAATATATAAAAAAAAAAGCCTGGCACTCTTTGGAAATACACAAATTAACAGCATGTGCACAATCCTAAGAATCCTCAAGACCTATTCTAACCCTCTGGATGGAAAAACAAAATCCAAAATATGAAATATTTTACAGGTATTATCCAATTTGCACCATGAAGGTAAATCAAAATTCAAAAGGTTGTCAGTTACAGTATATTGTGAAATATTGATGTTAATGTTTCATGTTTTTATACAAAACAACATGTTAATATTAAAAAAGCACATATGTCATTTCTTTGACTTCCTGAATTAGGAAATACAGTTGCATTTTGTGAAACATAGTCTTTAAATCTTTTTTTTTTTTTTTTTTTTTTTTGCAGCAAACAATTTTATTGAACCAGATGGTTAGAAAAATCACTTGGATTCTGGAAAACATTTAGAACAGGAGTAAGTGCTGTTAAGTGGTTTTCAGAACCTGTCATCGGGTATTTATATCAGTCAGAAAATCAGATGCTTAGCTCTGAATCTAATTATACTACGAGAGGCACTAAACGAGTCTAGGCTTTATTAAATATCAGACATACCTCACCTAGTGTGTATCTTTCAAATCAGTCATCCACACCACTGTCCTCCTCTCCGGTTCTTCACACCTGATTAAAGCAATGATAACGTTAATACCTGAGAGGAATAAACTGAGGCTATATAAAGCCGTACGTTATCGCTTTAATATTGCTCTGGGCTGACACATGGCAGCCACATGGTTGTCTTGCAGGGAGATTAGCTGTCTCCTTCACCATCAATACATTGATGTCCTATCTGCTGGTAAACTCAATGCAAGGTCAGAGGAGAACTAACTGGCACAATGATTATATATCACTTGGAGGAGCACAACAGGCTTCCCTTGTTGTCACGCCAGGTCCCAGCAGGCATACTGTGGTATATATTCGATTGCATGTGTTAAAGGAAAGTGCATCTTAATATACATCGTTTTTCCCCTTAAAGAGCCACGTTTAACCACGTTTAATCTTTTCAAGTCCAGAAATCAGTCTCAAGATTAATATTTTTCTTCAGAGAACCACACTGGCTCTGCTTCACTGGCTTGTGCAAGACATCTGACAGTTCGTATCTCAAATATTACAGGCCTCTAGCTCTCACAGTTCAACATTTCTTTAACTGCACTCTCAGCATGAGAGGGTGTGTGTGTGTGTGTGTTTAACCTTGGGTGGTTGTGTCAGAAGCAGATCTCGGTTATAATTGTACAGCACGACAGAGGCGATCCTTCACCAGACTGAGATTTGAGTTCATAGCCTTCTGCTTTCAGCTGTGGCTGCATCACTGCAGTGTGTGTGTGTGTGTGTGTGTGTGTGTGTGTGTGTGTGTGTGTGTGCGTGGGCGTGGGCGCGCCTTTGGCAGAGATGGACAAACAAGTAGATGAGACGAGAATGGATGGATAGGTTGAAGTAAGAAAAAGAGAGGGAGAGAAATGCGATGCGTCGATAAGGGTGCCGTCAACTTTATTAAGAGTCTGACTGCTGCAGTGCAGCCCCAATTAATTCAGACAGTAAATTCCTGCTTGTCACATTTCATTGGAGCCACGTCACATCCACCCTGTCTGCCCTGACAACCCAGTGAAGCAAGGAAGGTGGAAAGTTAAACCGTGGAGAAAACCAGAATAAAAACAGATGTTGAATGAGGCTGAAGAAGAAACCTCTGCTCTGCATCACAGCCATATTTCCTCCTTCACGTGGGTTCTCTGCTCACCTGGGAATTACTTTCAAGCTCCTGTGAATGATATATCATTATGGCTTTTCCTAACAAATACAGGCTCTGTTCTCTTCCATACCAGTATATAGAGAGAGCCTGTGTTAAGGTGAGACTATGTCTGTCCAGGGACTCCCTGTCTGACTTAAAGTGAGAGAGGAGGAGGGCAGAGGTAGGAGGAATAAAGATGCTATTTTTAGACCTGTGTTGCTGTAGTGCATGCACATTGGCTTGCAGACGTGTACCTCTTGAACAGGAGAGTCGACTGTAGCTGTTGTTGAAACCACAGGACAGAGATCAATGTAAGACTGATTTTAAACTTGGAGGGAGCAATTAATGCAAATAAAATGAAATAAAGCAAAACAGTAATACTCCTTTTCCCACGGGTCAGCATTGTCCCTCAGTTATTCCTGGTCTTTCCCATATTCATTTTCCTAATCACTGATCCAGGGATCCATTTGTATACTTAATAGGTTGTTATCAAGTGAATGCAGTGATCCTTACAGTGACTGACATGTTCCTGAATCATATACATCTCTCTCACCAGCATCTATAAATACCCTGCTAAAGCTCTTCAGGGTGTGTTGTGATCCTGACCTGGTGTTGTAGAGCTGGGTTCCTACTGACTACAACTTACAGTAAACTGAGTTACAGCAGTCTGTTTCCCTTAAACGTGCACCCTCGTGTACAAACATCCCAGTGTTAGACTGTCCTGCATCAGGGCCTCCATGTATTAAAGTTAATATGTTCAGATTCAGATTTTATAAGACTGTCACACTTGTATTGTCATTAAAAGTGTCTGCATATAGAATAACAGCCTGACATATCTGACCTGTCTGATCCACTGACAGAGGGCGAACCCATCGAAGCCATCGCCAAGTTTGACTACGTTGGGCGCTCTTCCCGAGAATTGTCCTTCAAGAAGGGTGCCTCCCTGCTGCTTTATCAGCGGGCGTCTCAAGACTGGTGGGAGGGACGGCACAACGGCATCGATGGTCTGGTACCACACCAGTATATTGTAGTCCAAGACATGTGAGTTCTCAGACACACACATGTGCATTGTATGTTTAACTTCCAGCTGTCTGAAGGATGGTATATTGAATTCATATTGAGATTAGAAGGAAAACTATATAGACAAGTAACATATACTGTATGTATCATAAACAGTCTCTCAAATTGCATGTGGAGTGTGTTTTCTCTTGTTTTAAAGGCAAGCAGAAGAGCAGCACAGTGCACTGAGATTATATCCAAAATAAATAATAACCAGTCAGAGCAATGGCTAGTACTCTAACAGTTAGACTATTCCTCAAAGGTTTAGCATATAGATATACAAACCTGTCAGTGATGTACTGACAAAATCTATTTCTACTCCCTTACTTGATTTTTTCCTAAGGCTACTAAACTAGTACCAGCTCCGTTCATAGTACTAGAGCTGTGGTTTATGATCCTCCAGCTCTCCCTGACCCTGTTTAACTCTGTGGGTTAAACAACACATTTCACTTGCCTGTAGGGTCATGCAGCCTGGTTTGTCTTGTCTGCCGCTGCCATCCCCACTCAGCTGTGGAGCATTGTCCATCGCCAGGGTCCTTTACCAGCCCTTCTGTCACTCTATTGTGCTCTCGGCCCTAATTCATACACTCAGTGCTGGCGACTGTTGATGCCTAATGGACTGGATTCACTGTCTCATTAAGACAGGAACAGAATTACCCCTATCACTTAGCAGCTGGTCCACAAAATGAGCATTTAGAGTTCTTCCTGCCTCTTTTCCTCTTTCCCCTGCTGCTGTCCTGTCAGTAATTCACTCAGAGGAGCACTGCTGATGGGGTCTTCTTAGTTAACGAAAGGATGGGGATTTACAACTGTCCAGGTTGTCCTGGAGCATAGTAACGTCCTGTTCCTTACTTTAACAGAGTATCCTGAGGAGTGTAAGAGCACACATAGGTGTGGCCTTCATAAAAGAGCCCAGAGTAAAGCATGCAGAGAGATGTTTGAGAGAGCACTTCAGCACAGGATGCCTCCTCTCAAGACTTGACTGTTGGCGAGTCTGAATTTTTTGTGCTTTATAGCAGCTAATACACATCATGAGAGGCAGCAGTGCAGCTCAGTAGCTCTGGCTGCCGCCACCTGACTGCCACCAGCTGTACCCAGTATCGAGTCACACAGCCCACACCCATACAACTCATGTGTGTTTGTGTGCGTGTGCATGCCACCACCACAGTGCATCACCAGAATACTGAGAGGCCTAGGAATATGACTCATCTGACTCTCTGCACCTGGGGGGAGAGAGGGAGACATGCTGAGTGAAAGGAAACTGATATCAAATCCTGTCATCAAAGAACATTGCAAATATTAAAGATGAAGAGATTTGCTGATATATCCTTTTTTCCCTCCCCTCTATCGGCCCATCTGTCACTTCCTCTCGCTCCTTCGATGCCTCAATGTCACTCTGTGTTTCAGAGATGACAACTTCTCAGACACTCTGAGCCAAAAGGCTGACAGCGAGGCCAGCAGCGGCCACGCTGGAGAAGACAAATGCTCGGGAAAAGACATCACCTCACCCGCTGACACCAGGATCTCTGAGGCCTACATCTCCAGGTAGGTTTTCACACTGCCGTATAGCTCCAGCACACTGGACTGCCAAATTAGTTGTCTATAAATGACCTATATTAGGAACCTGTCATCTTACAAATTTTGTGTTCTACTGTATATACAATTGACAAAAGTTTGAGGATTTGCTGTTTAAAACACCCGGTGTTTTGTAGGTTTTGTCCTGAGGGAAAAAATCTTGTGATACATAAGTTTTATATCTCTTTTTTGGTATTTTAGAATAACTCGGTAGGTTATAAAGATCTTTACACTGTGTTCAAAAAGACAAAAACACACTTCTAAGTTACATTTTTGAGGTTAACTGACATCCCACTATGTTAATTAGTGCCAGTCTTCCTCACACATTAGTAATCCATGTACAGTATGACCACAACACTCCTTGGGCTTCACTTTATTTAACGAGAGACCACCGTTCTAATAACCACTGGCAGTCGAGCTGCCAGTCTGCAACTATTTCAGTTGCATCATTCAAGATGCTTCTAGCATTAGGTGCATATTCTAACACACATATTCATGAAGAATGAACAAACTCTAAATATTTAAAGAGAAACATATGCTGTAGATTCTGTGCTTTGCTAAAAAATTATCTTTAAAGTTTTCAACTTTTTTACTTCAGTGCAGACTCACAAGGAGAGCAGCTTGATAGTATGTTTAGTTTAGTATGAACAGGAGTGAAGGAAGCAGGAACCGTTTGTACCACCCAGTCCTCAGTGTTCCACATGCTTCCTCCCCCTCTCATTGTGAATCCTCAGCTCACCTCTCTACGGAGGAATATACTTCTCCCACGCTGTTCTGTACCCAATGACCAGACAGTTCCTGTTGTAAAGTATTAAATACCCATTTCGTGTCGGTGCTTAGTCATCAGTAGATCGTTTTGGAATACAGATATACATGGAGGAATGGCGCGCGCACACAGAGAGGACACACAGGCTTTTTGGCAGCGTCTGCTGGTAGCGTGCCAGTATTTTGTCTTCTGCTTCTCTCTATATCGCTGTATCACTGGTGGTGATACGTGACCTTGAAACGTCTGTTACTGGCTCTTACTTAACACATGAACAAATGCTATTTTATTCAGAGCTACACTTCAGCTTCACTGTTGAAATGTTGATGATTCATACTGGATGCAATATTCACACCACTGCAGGTATTTTTGTATGGATGAAGAATGAGTCATCTTCTTCACATCCAACTTAATGAACCTCCTCTAACCCCCTAAACCGGCGTCGACAACCCACACTAACTGTCACCAGCTCCCAGGTGATCCCCACCTCTTTATTTCCTGTCTGCCCCACTTCTCTGCTCTTCCATTCAGACAATCCTCATGAGTGGTGAATCATTCATGTCTTGAGCTTTATTTAGACAGTCTCTTCTCCTGGTGTAGGGAGTCAACAGTATCTTCTCTAGACAGATCTCTAAAGTGGGTAAACAAGAGGTTTACAATAATGGGTTAAATTTAGTCTCCTTTAGTGAAGAAGATGCACATTGAGTATCACAATTTGTCTGTCCACTGTTTTGTAGAGGTGATCTTGTGACATATGTCTTGTGATTTACATTGTTATTAGCAGAGGCCATGCTAACAAAGGGTGAGCTTTTGGTGTGGTGTAGCTTGCAGAGTTAGTTCCAGCGCCTGTTGTAGTAGCCACACCAGTACCTGAAGAGGACCTGTGTTGTCAGTGTACAGACCGCGCCCCCTGCAGGTCATCGCTGGTTCCTGCAGTTATTTATTCTAGTTTTCTCACTGCAGTCAGAAATATATTTATTTATTACTTTCCATTAACCTCTTATATATTTCTGCCACCAGGCACTAAGTCTCCACCACTGAATCTTTCCTTTTCAGTGTCTGAACTATCATCAGTGCTATCATAAAGTGTTTTGTTCATGCTCAGCAGTGTCCATGGTGGGGTTGTGTGTGTGTGCGGGAGCAAGTATGGGTCTCAGAGTTTAATAAGCAAACGTCTGTTTGACATGACTTGAGACTTTCTAGTTAATGCAGAAGAGCAGTTCACTGTGATGAAATGAGTCTGAGAAGGTCCCCCAGCCTAGTGACTTTGCAGGAAAATCTGCAGTTAAGACCCTCAGTCCTTCATAATCGTGCTCATTATTGCTTTTTGTTTTAGCATAATGATGAAGCTGCCTGCAAATCAGAATGATAATGACTGAGACAGCGCTCATTAGGCAGATTTAAATTCTCAAATGAAGCCATTTGCATCAGAGAAGTGATTAAAAGATGAGAAATTGTTGTGTTTATTCATGATCACAAACATTCAATAATGCTAATGGAGGTCTAATTAAAAATGTTAAACTGACACTATCAGCTTTCATGTTATTGATTTAATATTTCAGTTTGCTGCCATTTTGTAGAATGAACAGAAAAGGTGATGTGTGCATGATAATAAAAGCATTTTAATAGTCTCTTTTATCTTAAATTTAATCTGAATGGCTGAGATGTCGTGGAATATCTACGTTATTAAATTCTCTAGACTGTTTTATTTTTTCATTATTTGCTGGTAGTCAAACATTTTTTCAGCCGTCATGCCGGTAGAGACGCACCGAGGTGCTGCTCTGTTGGCCTTTTATGGAGCAATGGAACTGTTTTGGCGGAGTAGCTGTTGCTGTGGACAAACATGAGTTCCAACCTGTATGTGTCTGGTCTTGACAGGTGTACATCTATCTGTTGCTCCGTGTTTCAAATGTGCCTGACTAGTTGCGTATAGTGCTGTGCTGGTCCAGGTTCAGAGAGAGGACAACCATTCTGCTGAGGCAGCTGTATATTTTCCCGTGGAGCCTGTTTTGCTGCTGTGATGAACCACAGGCCTCCCTCCTCTGGCTGACAGCCCGGTCCACTCTACCTGCTCTGCAAATAAGCTCATCTGAGGCACAAACATCAGGGATCCTTTCACAATGCTGATGTTTGTGACAGAGGTTTTATGAGGATTGACTGTAGGCTACAATAATGTAGCATGCATACATATTGTCATAGACAAACTTTGTATATATCCAGTTTATGGCATTTTCATGTCTGAAGGATTGCTGTGTTTCCAGAGGCTTCAAATGAAGCTGTAAATGTATTAAATCATTTAGGGGTTTAATTCGGGCTTTAATTATTGAATACACAGCTGTTTTGTTTTTCAAAAACTGTTTGTGTTATTTTCTAAAAAGGTGAGACGTGGGAGATATATTTATATTTCAGAATACACACTAATGTATAACATAATTGTACACATGTATGCATACTACATACTTTTTGTAGCCAGCATAAATGTTAAATATTACTCAAACCTCTGCATACAAATGCATATGTGTAAAGCCAAATCGCTCTTAGATATAGATGTGTTAACTGCTCACACCTCCTCTCATCCCGAGTACTACTCCAGAAACCACCTGCTTTTCAAAGACACACAACCCCCAACTCAGGAATTAACAGTCATACAGATACAATTCCCACTGTAGAATATTCTTCTAACCATAACGTTTGTATGAAAAATACAACCCCAAATCAGAAAATGCTGTGACAGTATGTAAAAAAACAAAATTCACATGGAAAATAGTGATGTGTAAATCATCAGTCTTGCTTTACACTGAAAACAGCAGCAGATGTGATACCCCATCAATTTTATTCTTTGTTCAAAATAAACGCTCACTTCAATTCTGATGCTGCAACACATTCCAAGAAAGTTGGGACAGTAAAACATTTACCACAGTGAGATGTTGCCGCTCCTTTTCACAACACTTAAAAGAGATTCAGGGGCTGAGGACACCAAGTGATTATGTGTGTCAGGTGTCATTTTGTTCCATTCTTCCTGCAAATAAGTCTTAAGGTGTGTAACAGTCCTGGGTCTTTGTTGATGCAATTTACATTTCAAAATGCGCCACACATTCTCTACTGGGGACAGGCCAGTGCAGCGCTCGCACCATATTCCTCCACGGAGCCATCACAGAAGTGTAAGTGACCTTTGCCAAGGCACTGACACAACCCCAGACCAGGACAGACCCTGGTTTCTGGACTTGTTGCTGGTAACAGTCTGGATGGTTCTTTTTGTCTTTGGTCTGGAGCACACGGCGTCCATTCATTCCAAAAGAGACATGAAATACTGATTCATCTGACCACAGTACACGTTTCCACTGTGTGATGGTCCGTCCCAGATGC